ATATTTATCGACACAGGGAGTTCGGTCGATATCATGTTCTATGATTTCTTTGTGCAAATCAACCGGGAATTGAATGTGGAATTGAAGTCAGTGGCCACGGCCCTGTACGGTTTTAATGGAGGGGAAGTTATGCCAATGGGAGAAGTAAGCCTGTCTGTGGATTTGGAAAAATGAGTGACCCGAAAAGTTATGATGGTCAGATTTGTGGTGGTCGGAGCTGAATCATTGTATACTATTATCATAGGGAGAAAGAGCATGAACGCATTCCAGGCGGTCGTGTCAACGCACCATATGACGATCAAGTATCCTGTGGGCGAACACATTGGTGAGGTCGCAGGGTATCAGCTTACATCCCAGAGTTGTTATCAAACCACGGTGAGCAACAACAGGAAGTTAGCTAAGAGGCAAGTAAGGGGAGGAGATGAAATGCTGAGCAGACCCGGGAGCTTGAGGTCGAAGGAGGAGAGGGCGACGATGGATAACGGCAAGGAAATGGCGGAGATGCAACCAAGAGGGGAAATTGAGGGAATCCAGATGGTGGAAGGCAATGAGGAGAGAAAATTTCAGATTGGGAAGGAGTTGGAGGAGCTAGTGAGATCGAAGTTGATTAGCATGATAAGGGAATTTGCAGATGTCTTTGCATATTCGACGGAGGAGCTGACCGGTATCAAGGCTGAAGTCATCAAGCACCGACTAAATATCGACTTCACTATGAGGCCGGTGAAGCAAAAGAGGAGACATCACGGTGCAGAGATGTATAAAGTGATTGAAGTAGAGGTGGAGAACCTCCTGACAGCGGGCCACATAAAGGAGATCCAATTCCCGGAATGGCTGTCGAATACGGTGATGGTCTCGAAGTCAGAGGGGAAATGGCGGATGTGTATAGACTTCCCAGATTTGAATAAGGCGTGCCCTAAGGACTTATACCCATTGCCCAGAATCGACCAGCTGGTCGACTCCACGGCTGGGTGTGAGTTACTCAGCCTAATGGATGCGTCCTAGGGGTATCACTAGATCCCTTTGGCGCGGGAGGACTGGAAAAGGGTCAGTTTCGTGACAAGCCGAGGAACCTCTGTTATTTGGTGATGCCATTTGGTCTAAAAAATGCAGGGGTAACATATCAGAGATTGGTGGATAAAATTTTTAAGGAGCAGATTAGAAGAAACATGGAGGTGTATGTGGACGATATGCTAGTAAAGGGCAAAGAGAAGATCGACCATGTGAGTGACCTGAAGGAGACATTTATGACCCTGCGGAAATATAGGACGAAGTTGAACCCCGCTATGTGCTCATTTGGGGTCAAGTCGGGGAAGTTTCTGGGCTACATGGTCACAAAAAGGGGCATCAAGGTTAATCCGGAGAAAGTGAGGGCGGTGGTCTAGATGAAACCCCCCCACGAAGGTAAAGGAAGTGCAGATCCTAACCGGTCGAATAGAGGGCCTGAGCCGCTTCATTTCAAAGGTGGCCAAGAAGAGTGGGCCCTTGTTCAAAACA